GCACTGTGGGCACTTTGTTAAATAATCAGGTTTTTTTCACTTTCATCCAAAAAATTCATTTTGTATCGGTGGGAACAGAGTGCCAAAACCCTTTTATCTTTAGGGGAAATGTTCATTCCAGTGTTTTCTCCTAAAATTGTCTCTCAACTGAGACAGTAATACCTCTGCATTAAGACATAGCACTTCTAAACATGATATTACACTTCCATTTAAGAACTCTTAGCCCATCATTACTGGATACTTTACTCTCCTCACTAAACACCCATGGACTCCAGAATAAATCACTTATCATTTCAGATCCTAAAGTGAATACAATGCTGACATTTTGCCTGTTGGCACTCCATGCATTTCTTGTGGGAAGTGAAGTTCAGAAGTGGAAGGTCCAAGTGAAAGCCTTAGGTCTGTCTGTGAGAACGTGGTGTGAGTGGCTGTCCCTAGGGATAACTGGTGTCTCCAGCATTACACTGAGCTGCTTTGAACAAGGAGGACAGACATGAGTCTGCCAAGAGAGAAGCTGGTAATGTCTCTCTAATCCCATCTTTGAAAATCTCCACAAAGCAATTTCTCAGAAGTCTGCAGTCACCCAGTACCAGCACCCCCCTTCACCATGCTAAGATGCTGACGTGCATTATTTATGGATTCAAATGGTATCTTCTTCCAAAATAATTGKATAATTGAGATAATGCCCTTGGTTGTCTGCCTAAGTAACACTTGGGTAGTAAATAACTTYTGGCTTTCAGCCATTTGATCAATAGTCAGAGCTGGCTGAAGACTTACCATCARGACATTCAAGTATAATTAAATTTTTCAAATAAACAAAAAAATTCACAGTAGTACTCATCTTCCTTATAACCTTTTACAGTGTTTTAGGTCAAAATAATAAAAAAACCTGTCTTTTCCCCCTTTTAAAAACTTCTGCAAAAATGTTCAAAGCAATTATGACAATATTTTCCACCTTTTCTCCTCATTAACCTCTTCCCATTATCAATCCTCTTGTATAAGTAGGTGAATTATAGGGAGTTATTACCTGTGTGTAGACAWTAGRTCTGGTGTTCATGCCACTGMAGCCTTAGGAAGGTTYCAGAAGGAAKTTAAGAAAAGGTCTCCAGATTCCASRGAACAGGCTTTACAATGAGAAACAGGGAAACTGAATCAATTTACCATCTAAAAGAGAGAGTTAAGGCTATGATAGACTTACTGGATGTGTCCACAGTATTGTAGTGGAAGTAAATTTACCCAAGTTATTGCAACATCTCTGTAGCTGTACAGCCACAGTAACATATGTTTGGCATGTTAATATCTCTAAGTTAATTAATTTAGGAGTTAACTCAGCTTTCAGAGTCAATTTTACAGAGAGCACGAGTCTGGTTTTGCTAAACTGAAGGAGCAGAAGACTCATCTTGAGAAGTTTGAAGCCATTTGCTACAGTAGAAATAATTCTTTCCTCTTGACTTCCATGTCTAATTTGGAGAGATTCCACTTTTGAAAAACTGTCCTTCCACCCTGCATTGAAAAATAAAATTTCAAATCCAATCCTTAAAACACCGTGCAGAACCAGACCCAAGGGCAGGAACTGCAGCACTGAAATATCATGGATTGTGATATATGGAATACTTGAAATAATCACCTCTTGGCAAATGCCACAGTTTCTCATTAATGGAATTGCAAAGAACATTTTCTTTAAGTATCCAACATTTCTACTGGCAGGGCTGAGCCTCCAAACAAGAGCAGAAGCATCTTCTATGAAGTTTCCAATACCTTGAGGCATTTAACACCTTCTGGTTTATTATTATTATTTATTTATTTATTATTATTTATTATTTTCTTTTCCTGAGCAGAGTCTGCATCTATTGCTATTTGTCTTTGTGGGCTTTATTTCCACATTTGTAAAACATGATTGCAGCAATTCTTTACATCGCAATGATGTGACTTGACTGGATTTCAACAGTGAGCAGCTTACAATTCAACATTGTAGGAGAGATTCTCCCAGACAAAACAGTGATTTAAGTATGGAAATATTCAATGACCCTCAAAATATAGTTCCACACATGGCATTCCAGTGAGGCCAGAGGGTCTCTTTCCCCCCTCTTTAGTATCTGAAGATGTTAAATGAGGAAGACTCAAAATCAAATGACTGATGTTTTTCAGCTCAATTTTCYRATCAAACCAGGAAGATAAAGAAATYAAAAGAAAAYAAATACAATAATCCATAGCAATGTATTTCTGTAGGTTTCTAGTAAGGAAGCAGAGAGGGAGAAGAACTATTAATCAATGAAGTGTAGCTTTTTGTCTTGCTAATCTGCCAAGAAAAAAAAAAACGTACCTTACATATAATATAATTATTTATATACATTGAGAGTAATTACACTGAAAAATACCATAAATCTTCCTTAATGAGATRTTTTAAATTCCATGATGATCATTAATTACATGCAAATGGCTACAATAAATTTGTTCTAGTGGACTAGGGGCTTGGTGATGGGCACCCTTGCTCCTGGTCCCCTTCACCTCATGTAGTAAAGCTGAGAACACTCATAAATCAATAATASAGTGATTGATGTGCACTGAATCCTTCCTGTGCTGGGTGCAGTGCACTTCTTGCATTGCATGAGACTGAGGAAAGACAGAAGAAACACAGCCCAGCAAGCAGAGAACTGGGCTGCAAGACACTACAAAAAACACAAATAGCAGCATGTATTCCTGCCTTTTTTTCTCACATTTTCCTTTCTCCTCCATGCTTCCTCTGCAGCAATACACCTACTTGCTGATTTTTCAGATTACATACCCCTATTTTAACAAAAAATAAAATAATTAATTTGAATAATAATGTTTGCATTTTTCTGATCATGCCACTGAGATTTCATGGCACGATGAACTGCAAAGGTGTCTCAAAATACTGCAGAACAATGCTAAATAGGCTGTTTCTGAAATTAAAAAAATCTAATAATGTCTTTCAGATTCGTAAGGCTTCAGTATTTTAAATGATATTTTAGATTGCTAATAAAAGTTCTTAAATGAGCCACCACTCTTTCCCAATGGCTCTTCCAGATTTTGGGGTTATRTGGYTGGTTTTTTCTTTTTAAATGAGGTYTKACCTSTGGTTACTCTTCCCTTAGTGAGAYAGTTTGGTTAGCTGCTTTTCCACAGTTAGTGGAGAGCTAAATGAGCAATGTGGAGTACAAAAAGAGCCCACACATTCACTGCAAAAGTATTACCTGACAGCAGCCAAGGGATCTGTCAAGCTGAGCACCTGACCAAGCTGGTGAAGTGATTTGGGTTAGTGTGCAACTCATTGCTTTTTATTTTCTTTTTTCATTTCACACCCAGCCAAGATGACCAAAGTATAAAATGTTCAAGTAAATTCTCTCAAGCACGTGGCATTAGCAGAACTTCAAGAGAAATGGTTTAGATAGACATGGAAGGTTTTTGGAAAACCCGTTTTTCCTGATGCAAGATTAAGTGTCACATTAATTGGATTGCTGCAGCTTAATAGGAATTAATACTGCATCTGYGATAAATGTAACCAAACCAATGAATGGCTAAAATGCTGGTTTTTCTGTGACCTACTGTTTAGGCTCCCATCAGTCTCAAGGATTATTATTGCCCCCAGCTGAATGGAAAAAAAACCCACTTTTCTATTGAAAAGTCTTATTTTACAARCATCACAAATTTGCTCAGTTCTTTTGTTCCTCTTTTGGAGTTTTGTGCCTGTTTCAAAGAGGAAATCCTTCCTCTGCGTCCCTCAGCCAAGGGAACAGAAGTGACACGATGCTGATACATTTTAGAAGGACAARGCACTTGGAAAGGTGGATGCTGCCATCACYTGCCCAGTCACCTCCCATGGAAAAACCAARTCAGTAGGAGGGAARGAGTTGGAAGGAAGCASTGGTTTTAAGAAGYTCRTCACAGACCCCAAGAAAAGATRGGTRTTTTGGGARTAAATTGTATCATCAATATGCAAAKGGWTTTGTTTTCTAATTTTACACTTMGTTTTTACAGAACTTTCAGACAAGCAACTCARTACTTTATATATCAGWATTTCAAATTACATGGAAATACAGCATGAACACTGACTTCCCAGACTGCTGGAAACTCCCAGACGTGTTCAGCAGCAGGGCTGTTGAACWTCCCTGAATGCACAGATTTGCTCARYYACTGGCCTCAGTCACTTGAAAGCCTATGGAATACCAGATATTGAAATCTGCTCAAATAATTCAACTTAAAGCAAAAAGAATTGCTTTAGTTGCAAAGTTTGAGATATTACCTGCAACTCAGCTTCAAAAGAGTAGAAATCTTTTAAAAACCCTTTTTAAAACCCAGTACTGGCTTGGCCTTGACGGATTGAAAGTGAAGCCAAGAGAAGGGTTACCCTTTGCACAGGGCATGACATCACTGACTGCAATAGTAACTCACAAGAAAAAGAAGCAAACCCACCCAGTCAAGTTTCGTGTAACTTTTTATTAAAATGGTACTTACAAATTATACATCTTATGAAATTACAGAGTCAATTTTAATTCCTGAATTTTAAAGCATTAATATTGCCACATATTTACAAATATTGTAAAACAACTACAATGGGATCTTTAATGCAAAATTAAATTAAAACAAATTAAATTAAATTAAAACAAAAAGTTGTTTGATAGAACAAACTGTCTTAGATATTTACACAGAAAGCATACTTTTTACCAAATAAGAGCAACAATTAAAACTAATTACAAACCTRAACTAACTACTAACTAATTCTCCAAAACAAAAAAATGGACTTAACGTATTACTATATGCTACTACTACTTTACATAATATTAATTATATTACTTTTATGACATTATATTGTATTACAAACATAAGTTACTACTACATTACCTTATTMTTATTTCATAAGATATATTACAAGAGAAATCTATGTGATGGATTGCAGCTGGTTCCGTATTTTAACATCAAGCATTTGCACCACTGGAAACCCCATCATAAAAGTTCTTATTTCAAAATTTCGGTTTTCTTTAGGAACCCAGACGAGCTCTTTTCTTGGAAGGTTTCTCATCATCTTCATCATCAGGATAACAAAATATTTCAAACAGACCTCTCTGCCAATTAGAAAAAAGTTAAAAAAATTAAATACTCAGAATTCTTGCCACACTTTTCTGTAGCTGCTCGGAAGCTAAGATTCAAATAATGCTCAGCTGTAAAAGGCACAAAAGAGGTACCAGTCCCTGCATTTTGTCTGCTTAAAAACAAATCCCTGATGCGGAATAGATTCCAAAATTTCTCTCCCACCTTRTGGGCTGTCACCACTGTGCTCAGGGTTGTGTATGTAGGATTGGAGCTTGCTGGTGACATTGGAGCTGCCTTCTCTTCACCTTCACTGAGGTGCAGATCTTCATCCATGTCTATCACCACTGCTTTTTCGACAAATGTCTCACCAGGCACTATGGAGGGGATGCTGCAAGAGACACAGGACAAGTGATTGCAGCTTTGCCTGATGTTTCAGACTCAGCCAGGTCAGAAAAGGCTTCCAGAGCTTTAGAATTTAATTAAAGACATTGGAGAAGGTACTCCAGCTCCATCCCTGCTCTCACCCTCACCATAAGCTTCACCAATACCGGGGTGATAATGAGACAGACCAAATCCTAACTCAGAAGGACAGAGCAAGATTCTGCTTTTCATAAACTGAGAATATTCTGAACAGAACATTTAATCTACTGACCACTTCAGCTCTACTAAAAGAAAGGCAGATGGGGTTTTACTCTAACACAAGACATTTTCATCAAGAATGAAACTCAACCCCAATCCCAACCCCAGTCCCAGCCACCTTCTRCTGTCCTCTGGGAAATTACAAACCAACCAGCAAACCTGTGGAATGGCAGTCACTGGCAGCCTCATAAAACAGAAACTGAGCTGTACCTGTTCAGTTTCTGGTTTTGCTGGTCTTTTTCTTGCTCATATTTTGTCTTCAGYCCCTGGAATGTGTGAATGTATTTGACAGATTCCAGTGCATCAGAGAAGTTCTCAACTACATGTGCAATAAGGAGCTGAATATCTTCCTGAATAAAAACAAAACAGAGTTTCAGTCTCAAATGTTCACAGGCAGAAAGTCAGAAAGTTTTAAACTTTATTTTGCAAAGTAGCTGATTCCTTGCCCAGAGCTAAAATATTCTTGTCAAGAACGAATGGAAAGCTATCGGATTTATTCTTAAGAAAAGAGCTGAGATCTAGAATTATTAAACTTCCATTAGAAACAGACGATAGTCTCAGCAATGTCCCAGTTCCATTTGTGACCCTTCTATTAAAACAGGATGTTTGCTATCTCAGAGAGATGCCTTTTGCCTCGTACCCTGCAAGGTTATGGACATGTCAGCACTGACCATTTGGATGAATTCAAACAGCTCCATCAAGGCCGACTTCAGCAGGTTGCAATTATTCCTATTATCCAACACAGCATTTACAACTGGTTCAAASAGGTTTCCCAGAGTGATGTAATGGTTATAAAGTTCATCTTTCAGGCCAATTATCCTCCTCATAAAGCGAAGAGAACCTGTGTGAAGAAAGACATTCAAGCACTCAACAGCCACATGTCAAGACTCTCATCTTCTTGTGGAAGAATTGAAAAAACTGGTGTTATGCTGAAAGTAAGATGCACCCCCAAAGTGGAGAAGCACTGTTTGTTGACAGATCACCTTTCTTTCCTTCTCAGAAAGGCCAGAAACTTCCTGGGTATTTGAAGGTTATTAAGGACCATGGATTTCCTTCTCAAGTCCAGCAGCAATACACTCCAGCATGCATGAATTAAAYTATTAACTTCCTTCCTTGCTTTTTTCCTGTTCCCCTCCCAGAACCAGCCCTGAGTCTTTTAAAGATCCTGCTCCACTGAATTTCATTCACTTTCCACAAGGAGCACCAGGTTTAGGACATTATTAAGAAAGGACACAATTTCCACTGAAATGAGGCAAGAAACCTGATTACAAAAGATCCTTACTGTCATGAAGACTTGAGAGAATCCTTGTAGACTTCAAAAGAGACAAAAATCCTACACCCACCAGAAACTGCATCAGTCTGTGCTTACAGACAGCTTCTACCTCTTTTTTTTTCCAAATTGCTTAATGTTCGCCAGTAAAACACAGCAAATGAACAAGAATTCTGAGTTCAGGTGTACACTGGCACTGGTAAAACTTCCACACAGGACACACAAAGCCTTGAAGAAGGAAATCACAACAGCTCCATACTCACACARGGCCAGAAATTTGTGTTTGGATTTCATCAAGAGCAGTGTTCTTCTYAGAAGATCTTTCTTGATAATGTAAATCTTCATGTGATACTTGTGCCGTTCCACACAAAAAGACAGCAGCTCCAAAACTGAGGCAAGTATTTCTGCTGTTTGATAATTATCTACAAGAAAAAATAATGCCTTAAGTTGTACCAAAAAATAAATTAAGTACTGCCAATGTACATTGAGCTCAGTTGTTATTGCATCTCCTGACAAATTTTTAGTGGCTTTTTGTTTCACTGGATTGTTTTGGGAAGAAGGACATTGGGTAAGAACAAACAACAAACACAACTGTGGCTTTTTTGCCTTTACAGCAAATATTCTTTAAAATTAGACTAGTAAAACTACTACATGATCCACAATAAACATCAAGGAAGTGCATCTTTAYAAAGTACACCATCAAACTAAGTCAGTATTCACAGCTTCAAGAAAGGGCTATGAAAATTCCTGCCCACAGAATCCCTGTCCCAGGAGGAACAGCATCTTGCAGCAAACATATTCCCAGCAGACATCATAAACCTATTGCTGTTACCAGGACTGCAAGTCCTTTAAAAGGGAAAAAAATTAAATTGTCATTACCTATTTCATACCATTCTTCTGATGTATCAGCCAGAAGTGGTGCAGTAAGAACATGAATGTAACGGTCGTAGAAAATATCGAGAAATTCAAATATTTCTAAATTCTGAAAAAACAATCACTTCATTAAACACTGGCATTCACATTCAACCTTTTAAATAAAAAGGAGTAGTAACATAAGAAACAGCCTACAAAGAATTCTACTGAGTTCTTTGGGTCTGCAGCACTGTCTTCATACAAGATCAGTTTCCTTATTTTGAGAAAAATTTGTGAGACATCCAACCAATCTATCATTAAAAGAATCCTCAGCATGGATGCAAATATRTACTGGAACAATCATCAATGACTCAAAGTGCTTGACAAAGTGTCTTTAAAAAATTCTGAAATGCAGTTATTTTTGCCCAGAAAAACCTGCAAATCTTTTTACAGGTATKCTGGTACATTACCAGATGTATGTACATTTTAATGCATTAAAATCTTTCAGGATTTATCTTCCAAAGAGACAGACAGTGCAATGGCACTGACACATATGGCTGCGTGGTTTCATACCTGCACAATACTCCAGACATATGCCTTTCATTAGCAAAATTAGCTTATATTTTGCTTATTTGAAGTTACTATCAGGCACACTTCATTCAATAAAAAGACCCTATCATTTTTTATCCTCTGCCCACAACAATAGCAATACAGAATATCAGGCTTTTAAATTTGCCAGGATAGTATCATGTCTTCTGCCATTCATGTTCTCTTACACTGGCTGTATCCAGCATTTTCTCTGGRTCGATCAGAGCACACAAAATCTCCATTAACTGATTATCTCCTCCAAATTCAGGGTCAGGACTACAGGTCATCTGCTCAATTATCTCAGTGATGAGTTGGGTA